TCCGACATCCATCTCTCTCTCTCTCTCTCTCTCTCTCTCTCTCTCTCTCCTGTAACACATGCTCGATACTAATTACATAATTTCAGACATGGCAAGCATTGTGGTTTTCGATGATGGGGATTAAAGTGCAGGGTATACATATGAAGCCTTTGTGGCTTCGAATAGGGTGTTAATGGGAAGGGCATTCCTTCTCACATCAGAGCAGGTTGATATAGCATCAGCTATTGGATCCAATGGGGTTGTTCTCTCGGATCAAGGTTAGTGAGATTTTATCTCTCGCTCTAAACTACTTTTCTTCTTGCCAATTTCGAATTTAATTTAGCTAAATTCACAAGATTAGTCCTGGAATTTGGAATTTGTATTTATCATGATGTCGTCTGGAAACAAGAATCCCGGCATGTGACACATATAGTCAATGCATTGGAAAGAAGCCTGCTTGTCTCAGATAAACCAGTTAATGAGGATACAGTGTTCCTTAATCTCTTTTTTGTTGTATTGTTTGGTTGCAAAAAATGAACTTAAATGTGCTCTGATTATACCAAACAAATATATAAATATTTTATTGCAACATGTCGTAATATATGCCCTTGCTACAAGCCCATTTAATATTGTATTGTGAGGGCTCATCTGTAGGGAGAGAAACCCTTAATGATACTGTATAGTGAGGGCTCATCTATAGAGAGAGAGAACCTTCCATAAATAGAGGAATAGTCCTATGAGTGGCAAGCCCAAGGTATTCTCAAGTAAAAGAGAGAGAAGGGCAAGTTTTTTATACTTCCCCTCCTGTATAAAATTTATATATTTCCCCCTATCCAACCGTCATGCGTTTACATTATTTTATTATTAAGTTTTTTCTACAAAGCATTTGACACCAAATTTATACATTTCCCCCTATCCAACCAATCCACTTTGAATGTCATGCGTTTACATTATTTTATTATTAAGTTTTTTCTACAAAGCATTTTGACACCAAATTTTGAGCGTCTACTCTTCTCTTAAACTCGCACTTGTAAAATTAAAAAAATACTGGGAAAATTACAAAAAACCCCAAAATGAGATTTTCTAGACATTCTATCCCCAAAAAAGTTTTTTTTAGCAACTTTTACCCCAAATTGAGTTTTTTTAGCAAATACCTCCAAGTCAAAAAGTCATTTTTTTTTTTGATGAAAATGCCCATCACTTCCCCTATTTTGTGTTGGACCGCATGCCAGTGTCGGACTGTGGATCTCCCCTATTTTGTGTCGGATCGCACGCCCGAAGTGTCGGACTGTGGACTTCCCTTATTTTGTGTCGGATCGCATGCTTTCCAGAAGTCCAAAGTGTAGGACCGTTCTCATTTTGTGTCGAACTGCATGCCCAAAGTGCTGGATCACCTTCATTTTGTGTCAGATTGCATGTTTTTCATAAGCAAAGTGCTCGATTATCCCCATTTTGTGTTGGATCACATGTCTAAAGTATCGGCCTGTCCTTGTTTTATGTCGGACGCATGCTTTCTAGAAACAATGTGTCAGACCATCCCATTTTGTGTTGGACTGTATGCTTTTCAGAGGATATTTTGGTCTTTATTTTACCTTTTTTTTACCATTTAGGGGTATTTGTCAGGAAAGTTAAATTCGGATTAAAAAGTGAAAAAAAGTTTAGTTGGGGGTAAGTTGTATAATAAGTCTATTTTTCAGGGTTATTTGTAATTTTCTAAAACTATTCTCAATAAAATAAAGTAATCAAAATACTTTGAATATTTTAGAAGGTATTTTTGTTATTTTTTTTATTGAAATATATTTTTAATATTTGATTTAGGTATGTCCTATTGAGATGATGGCACATACCAAATTCATATTTATAAGTTGTAGAAAAAAAATTAAAAGTAAAATGTTTTGAGCATTGGATCTAGATCAAACGGTCAATGACTCATTTATATCACTTCTTATAAATGGATGGCTGGATGAGGGCAATATAGGGAAAGTATAGAAACCTTTCCTAAGAAGGGTTTCACAACTTCACCTTAGTAGGTAAAGAGGTTAGGCATTTGAAAATGAAGTTGCCCCTGCATGACAGTCGTAGTGCTCCATTTGTCAATGATGGAGAGAAGGACTCACATATGCCATAAGATCATTGGCCTTTGGAATATCTCGTTCCGTTGTGACAGAATCCATTATTTCTAGTGCTCCATTTGTCAATGTTGGAGAGAGAGACTTGCACATATGCCGTAATATTATTCTATTGGTATAAAAGGTCTATAATCACTCGATGTCAAATGTGAAAATGGGTCGACATATTATCCTATTGGTATAAAAGATCTATAATCACTCATGTCAAATGTGAAAAAGCTAAAGATAATTGTAAGATGAATAGTTTTATTTTATATTTTTCTTATTTCTGAGATGTATATTTGTGAAAAAGACAATAGTTAAAATAAAAACACAAACCATTCCTCGCATGCATACAGTCTATAAGATCAAAAGAAGTCACAAGCCAACTTCCCACAAGATACTCCATTAACTACAACTCATACAACTTTTTTGAGATATACCTTGATAACCACCTCCTAGCAGTTCCTCAAGTTTCTTATCAGAGACTAACAATGGAATCCCAAAATCTTGGCACATCACATGGGACACACGTACTTTTTTTTTTTTTGATAATGTTCCGTAATTTTATTGCTCAAAAGAAGTTACAACATAATTAAATGAAAGCAAAATCATAAACTAATAGGGATGGAAGAGTCACTCCCCTCTTTGCATGAGAATCAGCAACATCATTAGCCTCCCAAAAGACATGTCTAACATACATACATTGATATAAAAAAGAGATTATAAGCCCACACATAAATTGATATAAAAAAGAGATTATAAGCCCACACATACACATACATTGATATAAAAAAGGGATTATAAGCTCACACATACAACATTGATATAAAAAAGAGATTATAAGCCCAAAAGGGTTATCCTGTAGGATAAGTCCATTGGAGCTAGAGGTTTAAGGTTTGGATGAAGCGAGCAACCTGTCGTGGACAGCTTGACATTGGGCGAGCAGCATATCGTATGGGGGTAGCTTCTCTTTGATGACAGGATGATCGAGGAAATCTCGAGACCATGCATAGAACAGAGGATGTGTTTGCTCATTGATTAAATTTTCGCCTAAGATTTCTTGGGAGATTTTGAGCCATACAGGAATCCATCCAAGAGCGATATCGGTGAATCCGATGGTTTCTCCTGCGAAAAATTTCTTGCCATTGAGGCCTTTCTCTAAGGTTTTCAGGCTCTCAACGAGTTCTTCCTCACCTTGTTTTGTAAAGAAGCCGAAAAGAGCAGGGATACACTGTCATTCAATATAACAGAAGATAAAAAGAATGAGCAGGGCTCCTTGTTTGTTTATTGAAAAGAAATAATAGCAATATCATTTCAACTTTGAAAAATCATTTAGGGAATGGAAGCCGCCCCTTCCAAACAGCATCAAAAGACGTCGTTTTGCATGCCCATGGAAGCCGCAGGTTCCATCTTGTTGCTGTAACAAATGTGGGAGTCCATTTGGTGGAACTTGGGTCTCCCACTATCCAAAAGTTCTATTAAAATATAAATCTAAAATATCATATGGGTAAATTGCTACAGAGCTCAAACTGGAAGTTGAAATGGCACCAGAGCCCCAAACTAACCATCAAACAATTCCTGAGACATAAAATTAAGAATCACCTGAATGTTGTACAAGAACATGCAGGTTCATAGTAGTGAACTAGCCGGTTCACAATAGTTGAACGAGCTGGTTCGGTTCGACTCAGGTTGATTCCTAGTTCAGAACCGGGTTAAAATATCATATGGGCAAATGGCTATGGAGCTCAAACTGGATGTTGAAATAGCACCAGAGCTCCAAACTAACTATCACACAATTCTTGAGACACGAAAATTAGGAATCACCTGGGTCTTGTACAAGAACATACCGGTTCATAATAGTGAACTAGCTAGTTCAGTTCAACTGAGGTCGATTCCTAGTTCATAACTGGGGAAACTTGGACCTAAGGAATTTTCAATCACTGCTTGTTAGTCATGTATGGCATAGGAGTTGCAACGGTTCCGGTCATGGACCAGGCCCGACTTGGCTCCGGTATGGGTCTAGAATTTATAATTAAATATTTAACTTTTATATTTTATATTTATATATATTGGGTAATCCCATTGACACCACCCCACTAAAACGTTCAAAAAAAAAAAGAAAAAAAAAAAAAGAAGAAAAAAAAAAAGAAAAAAAAACTCTTAAACTATTTGAAAAAACAAGTAAAGGTCCGTCTTCCCCAACAAACAACCCCCCAAAAAAATAAGGGTGCAGTACCTTGTCCTCTCCATATTTGGCCCAAAATCGAGACATGGCTCTTTCGTAAGGATCTTTTGAGAGGATGGGACTTTGAGGCCATGTTTCCTCTATGTATTCCATTATCACTAGAGACTCCACCACAGGTTTAGAGCCATGTAATAGAATGGGAATCTTCTTATGAACTGGGTTATACTTCAATAACTCAGGGCTCTTGTTGTGGATATCTTCATCTTTGTATTCATAGTTGATGCCTTTAAAATTGAGAGCCCATTCCACTCTCAAAGCAAATGGGCTTGGCAAGAAACCAAGCACTCTAACTGCCTCCTCTTCGGCCATTTTCTCTCTCTGAAAATCACCACACAAAGGAAAAGGAATGCAAGCGCTTGTATTGTGATGGACAATGGCTTGCTAAGGGTGGGTTTTTATAAAGAGTCAAGACTCTTGCGTGTGGACCAAGATTTCTATGGTCTTATTTAGAGAGAGACATCCAGCGGATCAATCTCGTCAGTGACGTCCTGCATGACATCGTGATAAGTTTTTTTTTGACCTTTAAGTGTACTAGAACTTCATTAATTATATAAAAGTGCGGTTTGTATAGACCAGAGAGTCTAATCATTCAAAGTACAGCCCACCTTTAAATACTGTTAGTGTTGAAATATGTGGTTACAATATTAGAAATATTTGTGATAGCTTTATAGTATATTTTTATTTTAATTTTTAATTATAAAATTTAAAGCTTAAAAATTAGTGTAGATCGAGCAAATTTATGAAAATTGAAAATTAACGGTCAAAAAATATGTTACAAAGATGCATTATTTTCAAAACTTGAAGTCTATTTTTTTTTCTCATGTCTATGCATCTTGATGTCGAGATGATCAATTTGAGGATATTTGGGCATCAAAACAGCCTCTTCTAGTGAAATTTTTGAAGTGGGCTTTAATTTGACTGTTTATAGCCTTGGCTCAATATAAGTTTTTTCAATTACACAAAGATGTTACAAATTTATAGAACCATCAAACTAAAAAATCAAAGAAAAAGTTCTTCAGCAACCAACAATTCATCCAACGGAGTCCATTTTTTTGCTAAGTCATCCACCATCACATTTGAATTTCTCATAGTCTCCGGACATAACAAAAACTCTCAGATTTCTAAAAGAACTTTCATCAAAATTCAACTTAAGAGTTCCACTAATTGGTGGCCTCCATACATTCTTTGTCCAAACCTTAATCATCTTTTGTCCAAACCTTAATCATCCTTTGGCCGATCAAGTTAGAGAGATTGACTGAAACATCTACTTTTGAGACTCCAAAACTCTCTTTTGTTATCGAAAGCCAACAGAGAGATATCTTGCATTCCAATCTCGTCACGACATCTAGGGTTGACAATTTTTTGGTTCGAGTCCGGATCCACCCAAATCCGAGTTTCGATTCAAAAAGTATACCTTGGATATGGATATAGATTTGGATCCGGATCCAATAAGATCAAGAATATTCAGATCTAGATAATGTGTTGTAAAATGCATTATTTTTGAGACTCAGAAAACTTTTTTTTATAATATTCATACACTCGGTGTCGAGATGATAAATTAGAGAGCTTTTCAATATTAAAATAATCTTTTACGATGACTTTTTGAGGCGCATCTTTAATTCTACAATTTAAGACTTTATATAAACTTTTTCTATATATAAATGAATGAAATGAAATATATATATAATATAATATATAGTCGTGGGTAGGCGAAGGCACGACGAGGGGAGTAGGGCTG